AAATCTGAGGACATAACAAAATACAATCTCCTTTAATAAGAATCAAAACAAGAAATCATATAATAGGTAAGTCAATAATAAAAATATAAAATTAAAAAGTTAATTATTTTTTTATTTCAAATTCGAATAACTTGTAGTAACTAATACAATAGCCACTAGAGATTTATATGATTGTTAATTTCAGAATTTATGAAATTAGTTAAGATAAACATAAATTAATCCAAACGGCCATGATAATGAAAAAATAAAAGCATATCTATTTATCTATCTAAAAAATTACTAAGTATTTTTATTGTAAATGGATAATATTATGTGTTAATTTAAGAAACTCATAACATAACTTTAATCAAGTTTCAAGTTAAATAAATAAATATTAATATAATAAAATTAACTTGATTAACTTATAAATAAACCATAGATAACCGGTCAAATATAATCTAAACTCATATAAGTCAACGTAAAAAAAAGATTACCCATTAACCCAAGTTTTTGTTTTTTAATGGTAAATCATCTCTTAACAAAATCTGCCAACACAATGAGGTCTTGAAGCAAGTGGCAGGAAAGAAAAGATAAATTATAAGGTTGAAAGTTAAAATTAAACAATTGATATATAAACAAGTGAAATTGCGTCATTTTCTTATCCTTGAAGTTGTAAAATCAATGGATATATTCTTGGTAAAGTGATTGGTAAATTTAGTTGGTATAAATCCTTAACGATATAATTAATAATTCTTACCAAAGATGCTTAAGAGATGACAACTAGAGAAGTAGAGATTGCTTTTTTCCAGAACAATATTAAATATATAATCATTCTGTAATTAATTCTTATTGCTCTTCATAATTGAATATTTCACCCCCTAAAAAACAGTTTTCTGATCACTCTATTGGACCATATAAATTATATTTTCCTGAGATATGATATTATTATATAGTCATGAGATTCATTACACCAAGTAGTCAATTTGATTTCATTTACATAAGTAGTTACATGTTGAATTTAATGTTCTTTGTTGTCTTGGAACAGCAGAGAGCCAGAGACAGAATTGAAGTCTTACATTCTTAATTCTCTGAACCCTTGCCTCCCACCGACTCAGTTGATTTATGCCCCCATTTATCTTGGTTCATTTAACCTTTCCAAAAACCAAGCAAAGAATATCTGGACCGACAATCCAACAACAATCATATAATAAACAAACTAATCCTCGACCGTTAAAAGTGGCAAGGCATGTTGAGATATTTTTCAAGTAAGGTCAGAAGAAAATTTTGAATTGAGACCAAGCACTTTCCCAAGCAAGTAAACATGGTTTGACAAGACGCATGCAGGCGGCTGGCTTTTGATCGTTGAACATGGTCTCGTCTCATGGTCATCTCCAGTAGGCTCCACAGGAAGCCGCCATTAACTATTCCACGCCTTTGAAACCTACAAGGAACAACAACCATCTTGGAAGATAAAAGGAATCGCACAACCTGCCTTGTTTTCGAAGGCAATCAAGATTCCTTCCTTTCTTTACCACTATATATAGCTTTTCTTGACATTGCTCCTCCTCAAATTGCCCAACAAAATCTTGCTCTCTAGCTTTCAAAAGATCCTCTACTAACTACTTCTTGAGATTTGGGGTGATCAAGATTTTGTTGAAGAGATCATGAATTCTATGTTCAGTTCTTTTGATGCTTTGTGTAATGAATTCTTGAGCCAAAAAGTGAAGTCTTCTTTTGCTTTTACAACCATGGATGGTAATACCAAGAGGGTTTTGAGTAGTAAGGTGGCTGAAGATAAGCTGATCAAGAATCAACAAGGAAGCTCCTCGAGATCATTGACTAGGAAACAAGAGAAGAAGATGCCAAGGTTTGCGCCAGAGCTCGATGGGCTCAACTGTTTTGAGACCATCGTTAACTATTGAGATCGTTTGTAGGAAATTTACAGAGAAGAAAAGGATAGGAATTATTCTTTGATTAATCTATCTGAGGCTGTGATAGTAATGAGAAAATCTATTTCCAGTCTATTTTTTCATGCCTAATATACTCTTTGTTCTTCTTGATGATCTTATCTCAATTTCCTGAAATAATTTTGATTTTTTCTTAATTGATGAATCGTGGATTAACTTCTCTAAGCATACTGTGAGCTATGATTTTTTGGATGCTCGCAAATCACGGCGCAATCATGTTCCTCTTATCAGAGCCAAGATCCCCTCCCCTCTGTATATAGCTGCTGCTCTAATCTGCCCGTCTATGAAGTTCTATTAGCAAGATGGTTATTCTAAATTCAGATTAACAACTTAATCCTAGGCTTGAGGTTCGATTCTGGCCAGCAACTTGAAGTTGAAACAACGAAGGCTATAATTTGCTAGCAATTATCTTACACGGATGATCACTGAGGACAAATTTCAGTCTGCATACTTTATTCTTACATCTATACCCCAATGAGCCATTCCTCCATGGCATAAAAAAATGCCAAATTGGCATGTCTTCCATGCAAGTTATGATGATATAAACAAGAATCAAGACCATGGTTAGCCTTGAGTCTTTAGATGTCTGGTGAATAGTTAGCCCATATAATTGTTTTTTTGCATTAGCTTTAAACAGCGCTAGCTCTAGCTTTGCCTTCACCACCGACACAATTTGTTTCGTCCTCCTCCACAGGAGAGTTTAATACATGGATTATGTCCATGAGACCTCATAAATCTCTCTATCTTGATTGAGCGCAACAACTATATACAAAGTAGAGAAGAGGAGGAGGATTCAATGCTCCATTCAATTAAAACTGTTTCAGTCCAATAAACTTGTTTTGTACGCAAATTCTTCCTCATGCGTGCCTCTTCCATCACACCATTGAGTAAATTTTGCTTTTCCCTTGTTGCTTGTAAATGCAATTAGTGGAATTTGCGACTGGAGGGCCACTTCAATCTATAAGTAGCTTTTCTAGATCCTATGGGCTTTGGAATGGGCCCCCATGGAAGGTATGTGGGGATCCAAAGTTAATGAATGAGCTCATGCCTAGCTTCACCTCTAGGCTGCTTTTGGATGCTTTCTACCCAAGGAACCGCTCATCCCAGCTGTTGCCTGAGAATTACAGAATTGTGCCCCACTCCTCCTCGATCTTCTGTTTTGACAATCTCATGTTCCAAGTTCTGCACAATGTTTTCAATCTGAAATAAAGATGGGTTTTAATGTTAATCCAACTATAACTACAACAGTAATAAATAACAATAATCTTGCTGAATACTCTTCTCGAAATTACTTTTTACATGCATCAAGTATAATGGATCCTATAAAACCAGCGGTTCAAATTCTAAGAAAGTGTTTTCGGTAAAATTAACATTATTTGAATTATAGTTGTGTCAGAGCTCTAACTTGGAAAGAAGATGATGGATTGGTGGTTCAATCATTTTTTATAAAATAATATCTTTTTATTTTTTTTAAAAAAACTAAATCAAATAGCATGTTCTAGTGATTTTAGTGAGGAATTTCTTATCTCAACACCTAGGTTTGATCTTTTTTATGTACGTCTGTCATCTTCATAGTGTCTTATCTGTTTATTGAATTACAGGATATTTAGTGGATCCAAAAATTAGTCGTGGTATATATAAACTGATCTGAATATCTTGAGTTATATAAAAAAACAATTAAATTAACTGTTAATGTCTTTTATCTCAAATCAGATTCTAAATCTCCAGTTTTTTAGATCAACATGTACAGCAAAGCTGAGTTTAATAACTAATATATAAATATAATTTCGTGCTTGCAAAGTTAATCCTACCTAGATGCAGTTCTCTTGCACATGCCCTCCATGGTCAAGTTTGAAAAGTAAAGAACGAGGTCCTTGCATGGAAGTGAGACCAACGCGCGGGAAAAGGCAATCTTGCTCCAGTGGTTGTGGGTGTTGATAAACATGCTTAAAATAATCATCAAATACGGCTGGATTTGAGGACTTCTGCTGGCTCTCAGAACCACAACTAGATTTGGTAACCATCACCGTGTGGAAAGTATGCTTAGTACAAAGTTTGCATCGTGAGGGACTGGGAAGTGTCAACTTTTTTTCTTTTTTAGGGGACAAAAGGAAAATGTCGAACTCGTGGAATGGAAGGAAATGCGTGAGCAAATTTTGCCTCAACTAATCTAACAGAGTGTTGACCCGATGTGAATATATTTGTTTACCATTAATTCAAAAGGTTCAGTTCTCCACCTACTGAGTGGAAAATGATCGTATCATATGGGGCAAGAAGAACAACATGGGCAGTGAAGAAGACCCTTTTGAATGCTTGACATCCCAAATTCTAGTTCAGCCATGACAGGTTCTCTGATGAGGAATGATACCACAGAATGACAGAACTCTTGGCTGATACTTTTCACCCAGGAATCCTTTGAACAATCAAAAGGTGATCTGACTATAAATGGCCTATATGCTATATAATATGCATCCACAACCACCCTTTTCTCTCCAAGGCTTAAATCAATTCTGATGAGAGAATCTCGAACAAGTAGGATAGCCATTCACTCTGTTTTCGTTAAACGAAAGCGTATAGTTCAAAATGTCAGTTTCTTAAAAAATGAGACGGATGGGTGAGAACTCATTTTGGTCAGGCACTAAAAATGTCAAGGCAGCTGAGGCAGGTTTTTGTTGACTAGTGTTTTTCAGAAAATTGCCTTCTGTTCTGCCTTGACTGTTTCACTCGCAAGATTTGCCAAGGACCTCCATATCTGTTGAATTCTGGGAGAAGGGGAGAAATATCCCAATCCGTCAAGAAGAAAGACTACTCCAGCTTCCATCATGCAATAACAACTATAATAATCTCTGGAAAGTTAACGAGTAGACATACAGGAGGTCGTCTTTGGCCTGGTTATTAGCAAGACTTCTGCTTTAACTAAGTTCTATTAGCAGAAGGTGGCTACTTGAATGGATTATCAGCTCAGCTCAAATTTCACTCTCAATTTCCCAAGTGAGGTCTTTTGTGCCCTAAATTATCAAGCAAAAGACAAAAAAAATAAAATGAATTAAGGCATTTTAAATGAACAAGAAAAGAACCTTGAACTCCTGTTATTTCTGCAGCTTATATCATTTAATGACATCAATTTGCTCAATTTTGTGAATACAACAATTACAAGAACTTTTCACCTTCTCTGTCCTGAAGTGAAGCTGCGCTTAGCTCAACTGCGGAAATAAAAAATGGAAGCCTCTATTCCTTCTAAAAGGGGCATGGAGATCAACAATGGACTATTTCTCACTTCACTGCATGAGCAGTCAACTTCGTCCAGTGCCTTCAGAATGAAGGTAGAAAAAAAAATCCGGTATCATGACCTCCTACTTGCAAACTTTCTAGCCACTCCAAATATAAGAGCCTTAGTTAAGAGCCCCCGCTCAAGAGTACAAGCAAGAGCAACAGCCCCACCAATGACTAAAAACTTAGGCACATTATGCCCAACAGGTTTCTCAGATGTTTCTCGAATTTCAATCTCTGATGAATCACTAATGCTGGTCTCCAAAGATCTCAGGTAGTCTGCACTCACTTTGGTGTTGATCTGAGCCATGAAAGCACTTCGTGAAAGTGGTGCGGCAGATGCTCTATGTTTCTGATAGGCACGCAAACCAGGCTCCAACTTCTTTACAGCTCCCCACATACCTTGCCGAACTCCAAGCTTTGCAATTTCCCAAGGAATACCCATGTCCTCATGGTGGAACAGCATCACCTCACAGGCAGATAGCTCACCATCCCCTCTCTTTGATTCAACTAGTTCATTCCAACAGATAGACATCTCAATCACACAAGGAACATGCTAGGCAACTCTTATAAAGAGAAATGTACAAAATGTGTATAACTTAGAAAACGCAAGTATAAGTTACCTGCACGAATGCACCAGCTTGAATAGTACAGATCAACACGCCTTGGTTTGTTACGCCTTGGCACAGAGGAGCAAGGAACTCCCTAGAACATAAGGGACATGCTAATAAGTTTCTAGGAGAGGTAACTGTCTAATATGATCAAATACTAATTACACTTTCATCCCAATTGAAACATGAATACCCCACAAAGAGAGTAAGACTAGCAACAAGAGGACAGTTAATTTGTGCTCACGACTTGAGCAGACAAAACCAGGCTTGTCTTCCATTACATTGGGATGAGGTTCACTGGTGCCTTCAGCAATTAACTCACAGGGTAAAAACTAGAAACTTGCCCTTCATTTAATAACCAACTATTGCTGCTCCAGGCATGTCTTTTAAAATTCAAAACCAAGAGTAGCGTGAATATCATACTTCTAAGACTAGGCAATCAAGTTTGATATTCATATGACATCCCAGTAAGTCTACATAAGACTGATAATTCAACATCATAAGATCTCCCCTAAATGGAACTCATAATCCCCTTGTTTCATGATATACATTGCTCAGCAGATGTATATAATCAAGTTGTCTCTCTACCAAGTACAATAAAAGGAAAAATAGAATATACAACTCATTCATCCAATCTTTCACATACCTTTGTAACACAGTAGTACAATCGACCTGACTCCCAGATTCGACGGCCTATGATGTATTCTCTGTCACTACAAAAGAAGGGAAACTGAACCCAAAAAAAAAAAAAAAATCAGTAAAAAAACCACCACAAACAAAACATTTCATAGAAACAAGTGATGAAGGGGGCACTCTTCCCACCTTGCGCACCCACTGGACCACCATGGTTCCTCTGGTAGGGCACTCTTCCAAAGTTTCAGCATGTACAAGCATGTCATCCCACTTGGCTCGAAATTCATCATCCCAAAAGAAGTCCCTCACCATTTCAGGAGTTGCATCCTCAAAAACAGTTCTGGAACGATATTGTGGAGGGCCAGTCTAGAAAATCCATTAAAACACAATCCATTTCAATCACAAGGGTTGCACATGTCTACCAAAGAGCAGCATTATAAAGCAAGAACTGGCATTGGTAACTAAAACTTCATTTCCAAGACTGCATTAACAAGTCCAATTACACATATTACACAAATCAACACCAATTTGAGAAGAGGAAACCTACCTCGGGATCTCTACGCCAAGCTTGATAGTTCATAGTCGGTGTAGAACGATCCATCATTTGAATCCAAGCAGGACCTCCATCTTTCACTTCAACAAGCTTGCACAAATGCTCCAAATCATCTTCCATCACTAGATTTGTTTTTTCCTTTTCCATTTTTGATGAACTGCCCGATTAAATTCAACCATATTAGTTTTTTTTTTCTTTCCAATTCAATCAAATCCCACAAATTCTAATCATAATCCATAGCTAAGAGCATCTTGCATAAAGACATTAAATTTGAAACAACAGCCAACTAACCTGCATTTAGAATTGAGGGTACGTCGCACAGAGAAAGAGTCCGTTTGAATCCCACCATCATCAGCAGCCCGAAAAACACAACTTGGCAACTGAAACTTCAAAATATTCAAACTAGGAATCATGGTACTCAATGATGTTGCTGAAAATTCCCCTCCTTGTTTAGCATCCAACAACATTTCTCTACTCAAATTGCTAGCCCATTTAGGCTTCCATACCCACCCAACAAGCACCCCAATAGCAACAGCAACCCACAAAGGAATCGCAAAAATAAAAAGCTCACTCAACACTTGACCAGTTGTAGGTCTATGCAGAATCTCCAATAAAACTGACCCTAAAGCCATCTTTAACCAATAAAACCAAAAACAACCCAGATAAATTAATCCCTTGAAAATCAAGAACAAACAAGAAAAACCCTCGATTTAATCCAAAAGAATAAACCTTTAAAGCAAAGGATTATTCAAGGGTTTTCAAAAAAAATCCTCCCCCTCTCCCCTCAAAAACCAATGCAAAACAACCTCCACAACCCTTAAGAAAAAAAAGATGACAAAAGAAGATATGGGGTTTGTAGAGGAACTGTCAGAGAATTGAAACGACAAATTAAAAACTCTCTTGTTGTTGTTTGAAAGGGATAAGGACTCAAAGATAAGCTGCTGAAAGAGATGTTATTTAGATTACTGTAGGCCCAATATTTACTCTCCTTTTTTTTTCCATCTGGTACCACGCAAACTGTGTTGTTGTAATAATACCATTAGTTACAAAATGTCACTTCCGTTTTGCCCTTTTTTGGGACAGGTTGATAAATGGCAAATGTTGCGAGATAAATGGCAACAAGTGGATAAACTTCTTCTATCCTAAACACAGAAACAGAGATAGAAAATTGGTGTCTTATCTCTGTTCAACAGTTGTCTTCTCTCTTGTTCTGTTGTCATGTGTGAGGGTTTGAATGTGCGGAGAGTGTCATCTTATATGGGGGAGATATGGTCTGTGGTCAGTGGTCATAGTTCTAGCCACCGCGTCTGGCCTTTCCTATCTCATTTATCACGTTTTAGGGTTCGGTTTGGCTTTTCTTGTTTATAAAATATATGGCGAGGTTTTAATGAGCTTCGATAGATTAATGCTATCAACATTTTTTTTTTTTAATTAACGTAAGGGTGTTTGAATAAGTTTGCCACCCCCATGAAAATTAAATTTTCATGCATCTTAAAATTAATAATTAAATAAATTTTTAATAATCATTAATACTAGTAAATATAAAATTCAAATCTAAAATTGCAGAGAAAATGAAGATTATATATTTATATTTATAATCATTTTATTGTTTTAATTAAGATTTTTTTAGTAAAATTTACAAAGAAAATGATGATAATAAAACAATGAAAATAAGGAAAATTTCTTTATATTCTTATTATATTATAATCTTTCTAATTTAAAGAAATAGACCTTCATTCTTTCTATATATCTTTTTAATAGAGAAAATTGGATTGGTCATTATTTATCTTTTTTTATCCACCTTCCATTTTGTAATTCTTATTTTTTAATATAGATCAAAGAAAGTGTTTGTTGGAAGAGATTTTTAATGGATGCATTACATAATAAATAAATAAATAAAGCTGAAGACGAAATTATTATGCACATAAACTCAATATGCTATTCACTGCAATAGTGAAATGAAGTTTTTGTCCTTTCTTAAAAAGCCAATTACTTTTGTATAAGGGGTGTTTTGGTTATTTTATATGGTATATTAATCATTAAAAAATTATCCTATAATATAATTATATTTTCCATTCTTAAAGCACGGTAATTGACTCTGGAATCAAAATCACAAAGCTGGCAAAAAAGAATATAATTATCTTTCTAGTCATGTATAGTAAGCTGATAATTGAGACTTGGGATAAAAAAATAAAAAAAATCTTGGGGTCAAGGGTTTTTTTGTAATTACATAGGTAATTAATGAGATTTTCTCGTCTTTTAACATTAATTAAATATTAATTAATTTGAAAACATTAATTTATAATTTAAGGATGTCAGTTAAAATAATCAGGTATTCAGGGGCATTTATAATTTGAACTCAGGCACAGTGAAAGGTCAAGAAGTCGGGCATCAATTTAAGTTTTTAAATATAGTATTTGATTACTTATTTTAAATTAATTTTTTTAATTAATTTAATTTGTTGATATTAAAAATAATTTAAAAAATAATAAAAATATTATTTTAAAATATTTTGAATAAAATATATTTTTAAAATAATCTTCACTGTAATGATGGGGACCTGGCACCAGAACCCACCTAATAATTAAAAATAAATTTTTTTAAAAATAAACAACTAAAACAAAAAAAGCTAGCGCCCCTTCACAGTGGAGTTTTAACTTTTAACGCTTGTTTTGCTCGCTTGAGCAACATAGTTTCTGCACATAATTGAGAAATAAAAACATGGCGAGCCAGGATTTCCTCATGCTCGTAAGAGTCCTTTTCATGCATTTCTTGAGGGGGAAAAGGGAGGCGTGGCTTCTTTTGAGTGGGTTTCTTTCCAGTGACAGACATGCCTAACAAGCTCTCGGCAGAAGATGTCAACACTGTATGTGAAAGGATCCTCAGCCTCCATTGGAGAATTGACATGGCTTGCTTGTAATCGTTCTGACTTTCAGAAAATGGACATAAAAATATGAAAAAGAAGGTTGCCTAAATGGCGGTGGCCGAGGGCATGATCAAGGATCATGACCAGCACTTCTAAAGGTATGTTTATTAAATACAGCATGACTCTGCGTGTTGATACGGACTGAATCTTTAGAAAATTCAAAAGATTACTCGAGTGATCTCGGCTGATTAATAAATAAATTTATAAAACTAGGATAAATCAATATCCAAATCAAAAAAAAAAAATCTAATATTTCTTAAAATGATGGCATTTTAACTCTTAAGAAATTAAAATGACAATAATTTTAATTGATTGGATTTGAATCGTGCCGGGTTTAATTACTATTCTCAAATGAAAAATGAAATTATTTATCTTGTTCAATCATTTTCATGGAGAAATGAAAGTTTGCGTATGAAAATCTTCTTGATGTTGGTTTATGGTGCAAAACATTCCTAATGGCTGCTGCATACACTGACCTCGAAAGGCTCTAGTGGTTCTCGATTCAATCCAATCTAGTCACCTGGCACAAATTCAAAGATACAATTTTGGCCGAGATGGATGTGTGTGAACTGAATTGGCTGCTGCCAAATTTGAAGTTTATTATCTATAGGTTGATTTTTAAAATATTTTTTTATTTAAAAATATATTAAAATAATATTTTTTATTTTTTAAATATTAATTTTAATGTTAATGTATTAAAATAATCTTAAAATACTATAAAAATACTAATTTAAAATAAAATTAAATATTTTTAAAACACAGTATATTATGCCAGACTATGCTGATAATGACATCTCACCTCACCGACCACTTTTCGAGGAGTTCGTGCAATTAATATGGAGAAAATATTTTTTCGCCGGCAACTCTTTTCGTGAGAATGAATGCCTCGTACTCTTGATCAAGTCATAAAATTTGTTTGCTTCGTCTTCATTCTTGTGCCCTATATGTTTCACAAAATCAAAATATATGCTTTTAAAAGAAAAAAAATAATACAAGAAACATTTTTTAATTATTATTATTATTATTAGAAGTTGTTTTAGAGACGATCCTCCGTTTATATTGATCTAGTGTATTCCAAAAAAAATAAAAATCTATAAATTTATATGAATGCTAGAAAGAATATTTAAACTTAAAAATAAACAAATAAGAGAAGCATCTCTGATTAAAATAGTAAAACCCTTAATTATCAAGTTATAAACAGATCTTAGCACCTCTACTAAGTTCTTAGCCCACTGATTAATTCAGTATTGCCAGAAACCTGGCCATTAGACAAGGGAGAGATACATATATACTCGGAAGATGATCTTGTGCACACGTCCATTTCCATCCTGGATTCAATCTAACAACAAGAACTCATGGAAAAACACCATGCATCCTGCAGAATGTCCAGCCATATTTGACCTGCTTCATCCATGTTTTGGTAGAATTTAGCTATTGTGATTTCCTACAATTCCTTGCGTATGTGTAGTGAGTAATTTTCTTGATGTCTTGGTTAGCAGCAACAAGTCAGTCTTTGGAACTACAATATGTTAACCATATCTCTTTTCCTGACTTGACAATCTGTATGTGCAGTAATGATTTTAATCATGCACCAACCGTCGGAGGCATCCACAGCAAAAATTGGGCACGCGGTGTTGTCTAAACCAACAGCCTTGATCACACATATAAAAACCATATTACAAGGAGGGAAGTTTCAGAAACTTGTATGCCAGATTGCTTCATCACCTTCCCCACATCGCTGATGCACTTCCTCCATTCTCTCCACCGATTTACAAATGCCACTGCAACTCCAATCAAATGATGCAGCACAAGGATTCCCAGCTTGGGTTTTCCACTCACAGTCTATCACAGCATTGCAACTCCATTAGTGAAGAATCTTTTATTTGACTCTGACGAGACAGAATTTAGTGTAACATGCAAACATTTTTGTACAAGATAAAAAATCATGTCTAGCATGATATTTTGCTACGGTTGATGTGCTAGGGAAGAGGCTATCAAAATATTAAAAGCATGGCATGCAGGAAGGGAACAAAGAAAAACATATTTGCATCAATCTTACCAGGTGCAGTCCCACAGCAGAGACTTCGATCATCAATGTGCTCAACGTCAAGACCAATAAACCAAGAGCCGAGTGAAACATCTTCATTTGCATATCTATGAAGTATGTGTCTGCAGATGAAATGCCATGCACCAGCCATTCAAAAGGATGGTATCCAAATAGAATGATGGTACAACACTGGGACTTACCTATTTACTGAGATATAGGTGGCTAAATCTTTGGAAATTGCATATATTTGCCCTGTTGCATGCCGGAAATACTTGTTACCCTCCTCACCAAATTTCCAATATTCTGGCTCATGGTACCTGACCCCTCTACAAATGGAATGCAGAAGTACACGAGTAACAAAGGTTAAATAATCTGAACATAATACAGTTCAAAAACTCGCTTCCATCTGAATGCTTACTTCTGTGCTAGTACAGGTCCAGACTTCATACAACCAATATAAACACGAGGCTTTGATCTATGACGGGCCAAGGTTGAGCCGACCATGCCTGTCAAATTTTAAAATCAAATGACCATACTAAAATACATCTCTTTGTGCCCCATTCTTGAGATAATTAAAGCATTCACGTAAACTAACCGAGATTTATGTGTACATCATCATCAACTTTAATATAGAAGTCAGCATCCCACATAGCAACAGCTGTTGAAAAATATATTTGTGTTTTCGATGATAATTCATGATAACCTTCTACATGATTCTGCAAAACATATTATGGTAACTTTGCATAAGCAATTTAGAAAAACAATTGAAAACTTGTTTTGAATGTCAAAAGTGCTGGCAAATACATTTCAGAATAATTTTTTCCCAAACCAGTAGCTCTGGCTTTCAAAAGGGCCAACTTTTTCAATAATGTTCAAAACATTTTTTCCATTCAAGTGTAATTTTTATCATTAATTAGGGCAAGGATTGGAAAACTAGGCAAATGTTTCCACACGGGGTTCAAGAGAGGGAATGCTATAAAGGCCAAATTCATGAACTGATTTTGCAAATAGTTTCATAGTCTTTACGTGGTAGTTGGGTGGAGATAAAGGGTCAAACAGGTCATATGGACCTTAACCATAACATACCAGTCTGAGGAAATCCTTGTGTTGCTCGTCTTCTGCTTCAATAGCACGATCCAAAACACCACCTGGAGATGCACTGTCAAATACAAAAGATTTCAGTGTAATTAATAAGGTCTGTATCAACAAACTTCAACATTGAGCTATTGAGCAACCACATGCCCTTTG